TTCAAAGCAATCACAACAACGCAAAACCGTGCAAACGATTCACATCGGGAATCATCTGTCACAGTCTCGATCGTCGCGCCAGCCCCTGCCAGCGAAGCCCGTTTCTCTTCTTTCCACCATCGCCTTTGTTTTGCCAGGCTGTCTGTCACTGGTTTGCTCCTTTTGGTACGTACTCCGCAGGCACCCCTGGCCAGTGACTCAACCCCCTTTGCCAGCAAAACTTGCATTACCGCTGCGAGAGCATCACCGCCTCTTGCTTGCTTGCTTGCATGCATGCGTTTTTCTTTTGTTTTCTTTTTGCCTTCTTTCTTCCTTGTTTTCGCGTGCGCCGGGCGAAAACAAAAAAAAAAAAGTACATATACTGACCGAGTCGCCTCCCTTGCCGCAGACTTAGCTCCCAAGCACTTGCAAATCCCGGTAAAAGAGAAAGAAAACAATGGCTTCTTTGGCGACTGCTGCCCGTGATATCCCCCAGGCCTCCTTGAGCCGAGACAACTTAACTGCTGTAGCGGCTCGGAGTGATCCTGCGATGACTGTGACACGATCTCGGGACCTCCCGACCCCTCCAAACTCCATCTCTCCCTCCTTGCCGGCCCACGGCCTCAAGGCCCAGCTTCAGAAGGCCAGGCTCGACCCTATCGACTCTGACTTGGATCTTCACGACAACGCCAGCGGAAGGTCGCTGTCCCCGGCGCTCGAGGCTGCAGGCGCCATCACCAGCTCCATGCTGGCTAGATACCACCTGCCCGAGATCCTGCTAAACCACGGGCCGCTGGCCATCCGCCACATCATGGGATACCTTACCACGTCAGTTCCTGGATTCTCCGGCATCCCGCCGACCAAGGCGCGCAGGGTGGTTGTCGGTGCGTTGGAAGGACGTGGTGGCGAAGGTCGTGGTGGCGAAGGTCGCGGTGTCGATGGGGACGTCGTCTTCGAGAAAGTGGGCTGGGGAAGATGGGATGCGCGCCGACGGGGACAGGCTGCCCGACACCGTCAAGCAACTCCGCCCAGCGGCCCATCCTCGTACACCGCTGGAATCCCAATCTCTAGGGTCAGCGGCCGGGGCTTGAGCCTGAGCAGGGCGAGGCTGAACATGGCAGGGTCCAGCGGCGGGGATTCGGTGCACCTCTCCCACGACGACCACTATGACATCTCCATGATGGAGCACGAGGCCGATAAGATGTCCATGGATGACTCTGCGTCGGCTTCCTGCTCCGAGGCCCCCGACGACGATGTCGCCATGAATGATGACCCGGAGGATGTGACGGACGACGAAGACTGGGCCGCCGTTGGAGCCGCCGCTCTGCGGGCTGACTCTTATCCAAACATGGCCGCAGCCTTCGAGTCCGGCCTGTCCTCCAACACCTACGCTGGCGGGATGCGCACGCTGCCCTCCACCTTTGGAGGTGTGGCGCATCCACCACAAGTCAAGATTGACTATTCTGCGTTCCCTGGTCCCTCGGACGCTCAGGAGCGCGAAGCTGTCGAAGCCCTTCTTCGGCTAGGTTCTGTATAATACCAACTGCATGCACGGCGTTTGATTTTCTTTTTGCTTTCCTATTTTTTAATCGGATGGGCGCGACTTGTTTCTTTTTGGGTTCCCACGGTGGGAGGGTTTTCACTCGGGTTCTGGGTGGGCTGGTTGGCTGGACCATGGAATACGTGTCACACAATGCCCGGGGGCGGCGTCCCGGATCAAACCCTTTCATGCTCATGACGACACGGTTGTTCTGCACGCATTGATGTTATGTTTTTGGACCCCTTTACTTTCGATACTCCGCACGCGGCATGTTTTCGTTTTTGCGTTTTGGCCCCTCATCTTCCCCCTCCAAACTGAGGGGAGGATCACCACTCCTTTCCATCTGCCTAGATGGGGACGAGCCTTGGGCGGCTCGCATACCTCACTGCGACCCTAGCCCTATATCGGCTTTTCGATGGGACTCTTCAAAAGAGGAGAGAAAACGGACACATTGATCCGAGTCACCACCAGCACTCGCTATTGGGATATTTCCTGCCTGGATTTTGGCAACTAATGCCCGTCATGCATGTCGAAGAGCAGTTGTCTTACTGCTTTGTGGCAACAACCCGCATACCGGAGAACTCTTATACCCTCGTCTCACGACGAAAACTTTTTGGGTCTTCCCTTGATGAGATGACTTGACCCTTTTTTTTTTCCATTTCATGGTCTTTTCCCATAACGGGCATTTTTCTTGCACATACACATTTTTTTGAAATGAAAAAAACTAATAATATGGCGCTTCCCGAAAGCGCTTGGCTCTTCAACACCACTCGCGGATGAATTTCCAATCTGCCATGGCTGCCCAATGGCGGCACTTTCAGGCTCGAGATGCAACAATTCTCCACTTCGGTTGCTTTTTCTTTTTATCTTATTTTTCACACTCCCTTGCTTGATATTGCACAAGAGGAGAGGAGATTGGTTGGTTGGCTTTATAGATTTGGGAATGGCATCATGACGGAGAAGGACTGGGTGTTGGATTTTCGTGGAGAAAGAGATCACAAATGCGCAAAGCTGGAAAAAAAGAGGAAGTGAGGGGGAACAACAGAGGTGACGTGGCTTCTGATGCTTGTCTCTTTATTTTAAAGAGCCCCAAAGAGAAGGATATACTATCTCAGCGAGGGAAAGACAAAGAAAAAAAAACTCAGTATTAACCGAGGGCTGGCGTAGCCAGATGGGTAGCTTCCGGTCTCAAATGAGGGACTCGATATTATAGAATGGAAGTATTGACCATTTCCTCAAGTTTTGACATTCTGTGGCATTTGGCGACGTGCTTGTAATTGATGATTGACTCGACGTGGGTTGTGCATGTCAAGATGGTTTCACTGGCTTACTGTACCGTTAAGAGGTGGAGGGCTGGGGCTGAATTCATGTATGTACATGTAGGTTTGCTGGCAGATGCTAGACTAAGAGGACGCTCGCTGAGTTGTCAGCGCAGATGTGGCTACGATTTGCGTACGGGCAGGGAATGCAGATGAAGATCAACGGGGGGAGGTTGTCGATCAGGATGCGAGAGCCGAAAGAGGGGTCCTTTGAACGAAAACTTTGGGAAAAGGGACGTGTTGTGTAGGGAGAGTTTTTACAGTATGGGATGAGACGATGTGGTGTTTACATGGGAGATGCTGTTGAGTGGAATATGATGGTTGTTTGATCGACTTTGTGTGTGTGTTTTTGAGTTGAATGGTTTGTGTGGGGATGTGATGGGTTTAAAAGAACAATCGTGGGCTTATGCGGGAGATACGAAGGGGGAAATGAAAAGCAAGATGACAGATTGTCACGTTCGAGAAACAGAGAAGGAAGAAAAAGAATCAGAAACCCAAGGGGATGCAACAAGTAAGCTTAAAAAGATTCCATGCAAGTAAGAAAAGGATGGATGGATTTGGATAACGGGGGTCCTTGGCGAGCAATTTGCGTTACGCCCGGAAGGGCTGGTGCCAAGGCATTTGCCCGTAGTACTTGCATAGTCTTTTCACGAGATAGTTGGCCTTTTTTGATGTGATGGGACGGAAGAAACGCTCCTGATTGACGAGGCTTGATGGTTGAGAGGGTTCGGGGTTATCGCGAGATACTCTGGATACGAAAGGGTCGATTGCTTGCCTCTGCTGCTGCTGTTGTTGGCTGATGGATGGTAGTACAGACACAGCAGCAGTAGTAATACGGAATCCTTCCGATTTAAGTGGCCATTTTCTTCCATTCTATTTGAAATCTTTGATCCTACGAGAAAAAACGAACCCGGAACTTGTGAAAAATGGCAGCTTTACTATCAGAATATGCCCATCCTAATGCCCGGCCCTCTTCCGAACCTCCGCCGAGACTTCAAAATTGTATAATAAACCACCTCGGGATTCTCCAGAAAGACAAGGGATCTTTTGTTCTCTTTTTCCCTTTTCTCTACCAAGATGCTTTTGTTTTAGGTTCGATGCACTGCCACCATCCTCGGGGGACAGTGTGTCAATGTAATGTGTGTCATTGAAGAAAAGTAGGAGGAGGTGGCGGCTCCTTGGCAAAGTGGCAATGTTCTTGGTATTACGGAGTAGTGGGTTGTGGTTGTGTCCAGCTGGGATGGTTTGTCTTGGCGATAGGGGGAATATGGAGTCGTCTTTATTTTCTAATGGCAACGGCCTTTTTTGGTTTACCGAGGAAGGGGGTCACTGTGTGTTGTTGTGTGCAAAGACGGGAGAGGAAGAGCAATGAATAATAATGAATCATGTGTGAAAGCTCGAGGGTGCATACAAACATGTATGTATGTTCCAAGTATGGGTGTAAACTGCACCGACGGGTTAGATGGGCTGTTGTTGACTACCTTAGTAGGCATTGGTGAGGAGACTCGGTGATATCTACGGGGTACTACCAAAGTGGCTATAGGTACACCCTAGCCAGCATCGAATAGGACATGGACCTCCCTCCTAGTCCATGGCATCGGGCCAATCCGATGGTATCTAGCATCCATGTGCCAGATACAGTCCTGTATTATTAGTAGCAGTGGTCTAGATACCCGGACAGACATCAAGCAGCATCAGCATCAGGTACGAGTACGGGGTACTGCGTACAATTAGCCAGGCACAGGCGGCGGGCCGGGGTCCTGTACCAGTGACCGGCTGCCCGGATTGCTCAATCAGGAAAGGGGGGTCATAAAGAAGGGCCCCAAGATGCGATCAACACTTTGCTGGACCAACAACCGCTGAGGCAACTCTATGGACCTGAAAAAATGATGGTGATAATAGCAGGAACTGGTATTGTACTTACTCGTACTGATGGTGAGCGTACTGTACTGTATGACCACGGAGAACAGAGAGAAAGGGCGTATATGTACGAGTACACAGCCGTAGGTTACCTGGCCATCGGGATTGGTCGGAGTTTGCTGGGTCCGTCAGGCCGCCAATTAAAGGAGCTGGGCCACGTTTGCACTCTGCCGTAGTCAAATCGACTGCGAGCAAGTTGAGCCAGATGGCAATTTGGCACCGGATTCCGTCCCCCATTGCAAATGCCCCCCTGGTCCACCGAGCCACCCCAACTCGGGCCATGCCTCTATCGTCCAGCAATGCTACTCGATGTGACCCGGAGCGATGATACCGGAGGCAAGTTCAGCACTCCGTACGAGCACATGTTCCGTCCCGACGAGCTGAACCGAGACCCAAGGAACGAGCCGCTGTCGATCGAGGCATTCGGAATTCGGTACGCGCGAGCGAGCTGTGCGCGCAGCAGGCTTGGCGGCTTTATCAATCTTCAACTTCTTCTCTGCTGGTCCGGTCCCTTGCACGCGACCTGGCTGAAGGGAGAGGCGCTGACGCGGTGCTCAGACGCCAACCGGGGCGCTAGAGTTTGATTTGGGGAACATGAAAGGTTAGTGTCGTCTCGGCGCACTTGGCTTTGTCTCTAATGCGGCGGAAAGCTTGATTCGGGCGTCTCGAGATATGCATAATGTTGTTCCGACTTGGCGAGCGTACATACATACATACATGGACAGGTATACAGCCTATCCCTCCATCATCTCCATGGGTGTGTCGTGTCATCCACACATGGCCTGTTGGTTGGAAGCGACGTGCTCAGCCATTGAGGCAATCGAACAGGCTAGAAGATATGGATTTGCCACGGCCAAAGCAAATTGAAGCGTGGTGAGACCTGCGGCGGGTATAGGTCCTGCGCAGGTATTGCCGTAAAGGAGCACATCTGATAAGACGGAGGACAGGACCGACCAGACTCCGCACACGATTTCGAACCTGTTTCCAACTACTATTCGTACTCGGTGCAAATTACTCCGTACGGGGAAAAAAAGAGCACCGCCTGTTTGCTTTGTTAGAGCCGCGTAACCGCTAGATGTCGAGGCAACTCGCGGGTTGTTGCTGCTGCTATCCGTTGGTTTGGATGTTGTCATTTCCATCATGTCTGACAAAACGAGGTTCATCCCGTCTTGTCTATGCCGTCTGAACCGGCGGTCCCCTTTTCCCACTGCACTTGATGCTTTCCATCTTCATACGAGGTACCTGCAGCATAGGGTGCCACCATATTCCGTACTCTGCCTGTATGGACAGTACGTACATGCACCCATCCAACGTTTACTGTACAGTACCCGTATTAGTAGGAGGAGGAGGAGGAGCAGCTCTGTATGACGCATGACAGCATGGCGGTACAAAGCAAAGCAAAGCAAAGCAAAGCAAAGCAAAGCAAAGCAAAGTGGCACCACCTGGACAGTCGTTTACGCGCGAGAGCGAGATTGGAGAAAAGAGGGAGAGGAAGAGAATCGGACACAGCCAGCCAGACATGTGCCATGGCTCGAGTCGATTTACACAAAAGGTCGGAGCGAGCGGCCACAGCGACAGCGACTGCGACCAGAGCGACGCTGGCGAGGGCCACGAGGCCAATCGAGAGCGCCGGGTGGGCACCGCGCCAAGGATGCCAAGTCTTGGCATTTCTTGGCATCGTATGCGCCGCTGCGTTCCGGTGGGCTGGACTGCTAAGGGATACCTGTGGGGGACTTTGACCGTGTATCAAATCTTGCCCACTCGTTAAGTCGTCCCAGGTCCCCCTCCATCCGAACCGCTAGCCCAGCAACGCCAAGAAATGCCAAGAACGCCAAGAATTTCCGCTTGGCCCTCTCGCGCCTGCCCAGGCCTTTGTTTCGATGTAAAGGGAGCCTCTGCCCCCAGAAAGCCTCGACCAGAGGCGCGAGTCTTTTCCCCCGGAACTTGCGTCCATCATAATCCCATCTTTTCATATCCCGGCAACCCGTATCCCCCAGAATCCTCTTTCCAAATTTCGAGATAAAAGCGCCCTGCAACCGCCCGCCCGTCGTTGCGAATCTGCATCTGCATCTGCAAACTCCCTCCTTCTGAAGCTTTCGCTGCTGCTGCGCCAAAGCGCCTCTTGGCCCCTCCCCGAAGACCGCGGCTCTCTGGTTGACTTTTCTGCTGCCCCACCACCAAGCAAGCCCCCGATAATGTCGGCCCAAGTCCCCGACCAGGCGTCGGCTCTGTCGCCCAGCCATGAGCACAAGTCCGCCTCACCAACTGATGCCTCGTCCACCACGAGCCCCAATGGCAGCACCAGCACCGGCAACAATGCCAGCAGTGCCTCGTCCAACGCGCAGGTGTCGCCGTCGCTTGGTGACGCCGTGGATGCGCCCCGCCAGCTCGTCTGCCGCTGGAACCAGTGCGGCCTCAAGTTTACCAACGCCGAGACGCTCTATGTAAGTGATTTGAGTGATGGATGGGTTGGACGATGGCTTGGTAGCAGACATGGAGATGGTTTTACTTGCTTTACACTTTTTTCACGCGTGGATGAATGACTGCTAACCACGTCTCGTGCAGGAACACATTTGTGAGCGTCATGTTGGTCGCAAGAGCACAAACAACCTGAGCCTCACCTGCCAGTGGAACTCTTGTCGCACCACCACCGTCAAGCGTGACCACATCACTTCTCACATCCGTGTTCACGTCCCCCTCAAGCCTCACAAATGCGAGTTCTGTGGCAAGTCTTTTAAGAGACCTCAGGACTTGAAGAAACACGTCAAGGTACTTATTCCCCATGTTGGCGACGGTTAGATCCTAGCTAACTTGCTCGCTCTCCTAGACCCATGCCGATGACTCGGTTCTCTCCCGACCTAGCCAGGATAACCAGCCCGGCATGAACTACAGACCACAAGCTCCCAAACGTGAGTACTCACTCTACAGCCTTATTTCCCTGTCTCGATTTTCCCTCGCCACTAACTCGGACCCCTTTAGCCCCTAGCTATTATGACCATAACGGACAGATGCGAAGCCCAGTCACCGGCTTCCCTCAACCACATGCCGGCGGCTATTATGCTCCTCAGCCGTCGACAAACTATGGTCTCTACTTCAACCAGCAGCATGTCAACACGGCACCCCGCTCTGAGCACATTGGCTACGCTGCAAGCTATGACCGCAAGCGCACTCATACTCATGAGATGGTTGACGATTTCTTTGGCAACGTCAAGCGTCGCCAGGTCGACCCGACTTCCTATGCTCAGATCGGACGCTCCCTGCTCCCTCTTCACAACGCACTGTCTATCCCCAGCGGACCCATGGCTGCCGCCGAATCTTACTTTCCCCAGCCGGCTGGTCATGCTGTAGGCCACAGCGTGGTCCACGCTGCGCCCGCGCCCGCGCCTACTCAGAATCCCTTGGCCCAGCAGTACTATCTTCCCATGCCCAATGCGAGGTCGCAGAAAGACCTAATTCAGCTCGACCAGATGCTAGGGCAGATGCAAAATACTGTGTACGAGACCGCTCCTCAAATGACCACAGGAATGCACCCCCATGAAGGCCAATTCGCCGGATATCGCAGCACACCGTCGCCAACTACGCTTCACCGCGGCCCAGATGCCATGCACATTGGTGCGGATGGCTACCACCAGCCAGTCTCAGCAGCAAGCATGGCATCACCTCTGACGGCCATCTCGTCTACCGGCACCCCTGCTGTGACACCACCGTCCAGCGCCATGTCATATACTTCTGGTCATTCCCCAAGCCCCTCAGCCTCCTCGGGATTTTCACCACAGTCCCGCCACAGCTCGACTGCCTCGTCCATCATGTATCCTAGCCTGCCCACTAGCCTGCCGGCCGTCAGCCAGGGATTCGGACATTCCACCACGGCAACGCTGGGCCCTAGCTTTGACGCGGGTGAGCGCCGCCGATATTCGGGTGGCATGCTCCAGAGAGCTCGCGGCGCACCGCCACGGTCTGTCGAGGAGCCCACTGGCGCAGTCACTCCCAAGGCAAGCGAATCTACCCAATCGATTGGATCTCCGTCATCGGAATCTTCAGACGTCAGTGACGGCACCCGCGAGCGAGAGGAGCAGTACGAGCGATGGGTAGATAACATGCGGGTGATTGAGGCCCTTCGCGAGTACGTCCAAGGGCGTCTCAAGCGGGGTGATTACGAGGAAGAGTATCCTAGCGTCAGCAAAATCCGCAAGGATGTTGATGCCATGGACCTGGAAGGCAAGTCTAGGAGCCCGCTTGCCAATGAGCGCCCCATGTCCAAGGAGAGCAACCCTCTGTACCCCGTCCTTCCTGTTCCTGGTACCTAAACCATGCGCCCAACTCATGAGATTAGTTGCATGAGGTGGCTTGCTTTTCTTCTCTTCGTTTTTATTTTTCACAAGTTTCCATGTTGGTGAAATTTGACGGATCAAAAATGACGCACCGCGAAGTTCATGGCATTTGGCGTATGTGATATTAGGTTTCTTCTCTATTTATTCCCAATATGTACGATTCAGGCTGGTGGAAAGGTTTTATATACTGGTGTAGGGAACAAATTTAAAGGGAATAATATGAAGTGAATATTACAAGTTTGACTATTCTTGATGGCTGTAGTCAAGTGAAAGATGTGCTGTGTGCACGTTGAAGAGATACACATTGCCAGGAGGTTGTTCACATATGGTAGTACTTCCTAGGTACATACTACAAAGGAGATGGGTATCAAGTGCCAGCAAAATGCAATAGAATCTTTGGCTGGCTTAGTAGCATGTCTTTGCACCGAGTATTTCTCGCCAGGGTCTAAATATAGAGGCAAGATGTCTCAAGCAACTCACGGGGACAAGTATCCCGTCGTCATTTCCCACTCACTGTGCAACCACCATGGAGTACGCTGACGCAAAAGGCAATTCCCGAGAACAACGTTAACCTTCGGTGACATCGACGGCGATGATGACGGCATTGACAAGATCAGGAAAGACCGAGAGGAAGAAACGGCTCGGAATCCTCTCTTGGCGAACCGGGCGAGAAGGTTGCTGATGTTGGTCCGGCTGTTCAACTCTGGCACAAATTATGTAAGAGCAAGCAATCTCAAGCCAAAGAGAAGCCCGTGCGGTGATGAACGGAGCGGCAGATTGTAATTTTGGGGCTGGAATGCGGCTGCAAGGTCGAGTTGCACAGAAGAGGCTCAGACTGGGAGAGAGTCTGTGTGTACGAGGACTCGTATGTATCTTAAAGAGAGGAATATGTACCTCTATATAGGTAGTACCTATAGTAGCCAAGAGAAGGAAGAGGCAAAGAGGAGAGTGACAAAAGGGCCGAGAGTGTTTTAAGGAATGAGGAGCTGGAATTGGGTGTTGGCAAGTAAACGAAGGAAGGAGCACGAGGCAGCGGGAAGCTGGGAGGTGAGCGAGGAAAGAGCCGGGTCGTGCTTGTGCCTCGTCCGATGTTCATCTCATACTCGTAGCCCTAAGCCAAAGTACACGGACCATCTTGGCCTCTATTCACGCTTCTTCTTCCCACCTCTTCAAAACTCTCAACAAATCCGCCGGATAGTCCCTTCTCGATTCTCATTCAAACCCCCTAACGAGATCTCATCATTTTCTGGGTTTTCCTGGGATTTCGCTGCGAAATTTGCCCTTGTTTGCGTCGTGTCTCTACGCCTGCGCAAGCCAGAACAGAAGCACCTCCTCCCGAGACAGAAACGAGTGTTGGTTGCCCCAGACTGTCTTTGATTCTGAGACATTTGGCCTCCCTTGCAGGTACTGACAGTGAGAATAAAAGCCGACGGGCCGCCGCCTGCGCAAGCGAAACCAGCAAAGCAAAAAAGCAAACAAGCAAATCAATTACCGCGAAAGAAGACGAAGAAAACACAACATGATGAAGACGCTTTCGTTTGCTGTCCTCTCGGCGCTGGTGTTGGGCGCTTCGGCCCTGGCGCCGCCGGCCCACCCTCCGGCCGACTCAGGGTGCTGCTGCTGCGACATCAACAAGAACAGAATCGACTGCGACAGGTCGATCCCGGCGTCGGAGTGCATCTGCGCCCAGGTCGTCTGCCCCGCCGGCGCGCCCACGTTCTGGCACGGCAAGCCGCCGAAAGCCACCCCACCGCCTGCGCCGCTGCCGACTTACAAGCAGTGCTGCTGCTGCAATCCAAACATCAACAGTGTTGTGTGCCAGCTGAGGCCCGTGGAAGACTGTTTCTGCGCGGCCGTGGTGTGCCCGACCGATGCAAAGACCATCTTTGTCAAGGAAACTCCCGCGCCGACCGCCGCTTAGGAGTATTCGTTGTCGAGCCGACTTGCCTGAATCTTGGACCGGGGGTATGACTTGGGGGGAAAGGAAAATACAAGGGGGAGCATTGTCAATGGTGAGTGCACAACAACGCGTGGCAGACTGGCGGAAAATTTGATGATTTACCGATGGGCGGCTTTTGAGATGGGGGAAGTTTGAGATGGGGGGCATGCCGGATGGGTTAGTTGACAGTATCTACACAGTTTCTATTCAACGATAAATGGAATTCTCTAGATGGTTGTTACTGAATGTTAACCGCACACCACGGCCATGGTTGCATCGCAAGACCGGGAATGTTGTAGAACTGAGTCCAAATGCTTTTTATTGATTGAAAAGTTACACTGCATCATTATTAAATTATTTAGAGGTGCTACTCGGGTGCTGCCTCTGATTCCGTGGGACACGAATATGTGCTCAAGTTGGCACGGGTATGGCCCTGCCGCTCTTTCTTTTTTTTTCCTTTTACCCATTCGTCGATTCTCCTGCCCAAATTAAATTCCAACTCCCAACACCAACACCATCAGCATCTCATTACGTTACATTATCAAGACATTCCTGAACCGCGGCTTGCCGGCTTCTAGGCTATCGACGGCCTTCTTGACGTCGCTGAATTGGTACCGCTCAATCATGCACTTGACCCCGTGCGTCATGGCGAACTGAATGGCCTCCTCGCTATCCAGTGCATGGCCACTCGCCCAGCCTTGCACGCTGGCGCCCTTCATGATCAGCGTCACAGTGTTGATATCGACAGAGCCCACCGGGGCCAAGCTTAGGATCTTGCCGTTGGGAGCGAGGCCATCAGCCAAGGCGCCGACGACCTTGGGATTGGGCGCCGTCTGGACGATGATGGAGGCACCGCCCATCTTGGCCAGCTCGGCAGGGCCATCAGCCTTGCCCGTGTCGATGTAGTGGTGCGCGCCCAGCTGCTTGGCAAACGACTCCTTGTCGCTGCCGTGGGACAGCACTGCCACCTCGTAGCCCATCTTGCTGGCAAACTGGACGGCCAAGTGGCCCAGCCCGCCGAGGCCCTGGATGGCGACCAGGCGGCCCTGCTCGACCTTTTGCTTGCGGATGCCGTTGAAGACGGTGACGCCGGCGCACAGCAGCGGCGCGGCCTCGGCAGGGTCGATTTCCTTGGGAATGCGGACGACGGCCTCGGCTCGCAGCAGGACGTATTCGGCGTAGCCGCCGTCCCGCGACACGCCGTTGATGACCTCGTTCTTGCAGTACTGGAACTCGCCGCGCTGACACTCGCGGCACACGCCGTCGTGTCCTCCGTGCCACGGCCCGCCCACGCGCTGGCCCACCGAGAGATTCTTCACGTCAGAGCCGAGCTCGACAATGTCGCCGACGACTTCGTGGCCTGGTATACGGGGGAAGACGTTGCCAAGGTGGCCGTGGGCGACTTCCATGTCGGACCAGCACACGCCGCAGGCGATGACCTTGACGAGGACCTGGCTGGCCTCGGGGTGTTTCAGGGGGACATCTTGGAGCTCGATGGGGGAGTTTGGCCCAGTGAGGACGAGGGCCTTGTAGGTTTTGGGGAGGGAGGACGTCATTTCGACTGTTTTTGCTGATGGTGTACTACTATTCAGTAATTGTATTCGTCTGTCTTTAAAGCTTCAAAAACAAAGTGCTGACAGACTTGGATTGAGAGAGACGGGAAGCTCAAGCTTGGATGTGCCTAAATGACAGTTATCATGGTACAAACTTTAACGAGGGAATGGAAGCTTCTTGGGTATTTATAGCTTTTCCATTTCCTCTTTTGCCAGAATTGCTTTCCATGCTTTAAGGGCAATTGACAATGCCCATTGACCCAAATAGGTCAATCTGCTCTCCTCTCCCACTTTGTACCCATAGCACCGGCATCTAATGAGCCGAAACAGCGCTCCAGCTCTGCAATATCGGATGGAAACTATCAAAAGTTAAAAAGCCCATCTCATCCGGGCGAGCTTTGCCAGACGGAACGGGAAAAGAAGGACGAGAAACTAGTGCGATGGGCTGAAGTCAGTGTGACTTCACCAGTGGGGGGGCTGAATGCCTCGCAAGGAAACTGAGCGGCGGAGGTTGATGCGGGATAGCAGAAGGGGGGGAACAAGACAAAATAGGATCTTCACTTCCTTATCTTCTAGGTACTCCATATATCTTTCGTTATACATAGAAGTGGGAAGCATTTGGTTGGTCCGTGAAGGGGAGTTGTTGTGGCTTCTATGTCTTTGCATTTGGCGTATTAATGATTACTGAGATCGAGATTGCGACATTGGGGACTGGTTACATGGAGGGAGCTTTGTATATTCTCCTCAATGTCCGATGTTGTAGTCTATTTGACATGTTTTCTTACCTGGAGTCCTTGGTCCCAACGAGGTGAGTGTATTTGCTCTCTACTTCAAGCTCTTAATTCCAATGTATATACGCCATTAGACGACTCTCTCACCTAAACTTGTAACCAACCCCGTGTGTCCCCATGGGAAGCAACGGCTAGGAAACATGATTTATTCCATAAGATTTGTACCCCATCTTGGTCCTTGTAGCTACATATACATCAACTGAAGGTGTCAACACCATGATGATCTTTTCCCTTATCTTCGCTTTCAAAAAAATCAAGAAAAAGTTCCTAGTCTAGGGTAGCCTTTCCATCATAGAAGCCCATCTATGACAAGCGTCGGAGGCGAACTCCCCCCCAACGGCTAATCCTCGCTCTTGCCCATCCCACCCCGGCCAATCAGCGACCTCGCAATTCCGGCATCACGGGGCAAAGAGGATCAAGATAGGTTGATTGATTGATTCGCCTTCCCGCAACCTGTCAGCCTCAACCTCTCGCCCAGCTTCTCTCCAACAGCCGCGGCTCCTTCAATCGCCTGACCTCCTCCCTCAACAAGGCTTGAAGCCCCTATTCGAAGCTTCCTGTTCGCCTTTCCTCCCTTCGAAGCAGCAATGTTGCCGGCAACACGGTCCGCGGCCTCAATGGCCCTCCGAGGTGCGTCAAATTTTCCGAGTCCCTAACACGCGCACGCTCTCTCGTGAAGCAGCATAGCAGCAATGAGAAATATATGAAGCAAAGGATGAAGTTGCTAACGGGGAAATTCTCTTCACGATTCCAGTCAAGCCCGCCTCTGCGCTGGTTCCCTTCCGAGCCGCCGCCGCCTTCACAACAACGTCTCGACAAGATGCCACCTCGCTGACCCCCCACTCCGCGAGCTTCGGCAAGGCTCGCAAGGAAGTTGCCCTCCCCAGCGAGGAGGGCACCAAGGGCGTCTTGCAATATGCGCTGTACGTTTCTTAGCATCTCATCCGGTTAAAAACCCAAGACAATTTCTAACGCATGAAAAAAACACAACAGCACTACGCTCGACATCGTCGCCAACTGGGCCCGTCAATCCTCGCTCTGGCCCATGACTTTCGGTCTCGCCTGCTGCGCCGTCGAAATGATGCACCTCTCGACCCCACGATACGACCAGGACCGCCTCGGCATCATCTTCCGTGCCTCCCCCCGCCAGTCCGACGTCATGATCGTCGCCGGCACCCTCACCAACAAGATGGCCCCGGCCCTGCGCCAGGTCTACGACCAGATGCCCGAGCCCCGATGGGTCATCTCCATGGGCAGCTGCGCAAACGGCGGCGGCTACTACCACTACAGCTACAGCGTCGTCCGCGGCTGCGACCGCATCGTCCCCGTCGACATCTACGTCCCCGGATGCCCGCCCACCAGCGAGGCCCTCATGTACGGCATCTTCCAGCTACAGAGGAAGATGCGCAACACCAAGATTACCCGGATGTGGTACAGACGGTAAAGGGAAAAAGAGCGAGGGAAAGAAGGGAAGGAGACCGATGGGTGTGGATGTCCAAGTGGTTTGGAACGACACAGAAGATATTTCTACAAGGAGGATTGAACGGGGGAAAAAGGGGTTCCCCTTTTCATTTTTCTTGGAGAGAAAGACATCACTTGGCAGAGTTTGGGTTTTGAAATGAGATTCAATGAAATCCAAGGAAAGGACCCAAGGAAAAAGAAGAAAAAAAATCAAAGAGTCAGCGTGGCGGGAGGAAGCCACGTTCAAACCTTGACTCGACGTTCTCATAATTTTTTTTATTCAACCCTTTTTTTGGTCCTCAAAAGTGTACATACACTCGCTGGGTTGCGGGAGGTTAGAGGTGTAGAGTATCTGCCAAAAATACTTGTACCAATTCTAAAGAACCATAAGCGATCCAAGAATGGAGTATATAATGATTGTGTGAGCCAGTAACAACAACCTCGCATGCCAGAATGAACAATCTCTTATAAGCGTTCAATCTCAACCCATCGAACCCTGGATCTAATCAAACAGAGCAAAAAAGGGAGATTGGAGAAATAAAAAAATCAAATTCCATTCAATGCTTGCCTTTACTATATATATATGTATATATATATCGTGATACCTCCAGTTATTAATAAATATTGGCGCTTCAGTCATTCACAACATCGAAATAAAGACCATGCATGCAACAAGGCACACCGGTCATCAACATTCGAGTCCAAACACCTGGGTTCACAAACGCTAGCCCATCTCTTCTCATTCGACATCATGGGCCGTCTTTTCATCTACCTTTCCGCTCTCATGTCAATTGACAGCGCTGCATTTCGTCCCATCCCGTCTCGTCTGATAACAAATAGATCCCACCAGCGCCAAAACAAGCATACCAAGCCTGTCTGCTGACTCTTCAATCAAAGCATACCTGATGTACCCAAAGAAAAACGCAAATACTGTCAATGAGGGGATGTGAAGGGATCTGAGTTGAAAAAGCAATACTGCTACACAGCACCGTACAGGGCTGTTGCTTTAGGGGGCCCCTTGATTTGGGCACTCCATACACCAAACCTCTTGTCTATTCTTGGCCAAAGCCCATGGTCTCCTCAACGGCAATAGTAAGCTTCTGTTGCAGCGTTTCCAATGTCTTATATGCAGGCAGATCAATTCGATTGAAGCTGCGTCGAGACTGTTAGCTTTCTGCTCCTTACGCTTAATGGAGATATATAGGTTTAAAAAAACTTACCAAGTATGCGCCTTAGGTAGATTGGCCAGCTCACCAGCCTTTTCAATAGTGAATCTTCTGGGGCCATCACTGCCCTGAAGGTCCTTGAATCCGTTGACTGGGATTCTCGAGGTACCCGTGGTGAACTGCAGCAGACGCGATTTCTGCTCGCCATCCCAGGACCGTACGGTTGCCCAGAAGTTCTGGATAACCTCATCCGACTCTGTGTATCCGCGGTAATCCGTGTGCTTCTTCCAATCGTCGACGTCAATCTCAGCAATGCCGCCAATGAGCAATTCCAGCTCACGCTCATCAAAAACGTTGATGAGATCCTGAGGGATCAGCTCCTGGAAGCCCTCCTTGAAAGCTTGGAATTGCTCGGCAATGCGCTTCTCGATACGCCACTTGACCATGAGATCCACATACTCCTTCTTGTTCTCGTTGGTCACCTCAATGTCACGACCGCCAGGGATCAGATCCTCCGTCGTCAAAACTCCGAAGCGCTCGTCTTCCGTAGAGAACGTTTGCTCTAGAATACCTCCCGAAATGTCGTTATCCAGCATCCACTGCAGTGAACGATGGAAGTCTGCATCTACACCCTCCATGTCTGCCAGCGTGACACCCTTGCCGAGCACCATCTTGTACAAAGCGCCAATAAAGAAAGCGTCCAAGAATCGTCGGTGGAAAATGGCCATACCAACCACGCGTCCGATGAACTTGAAGTAGTTGAGATGTTCAGGGTTGATGCCAGAGTGAGGGTTGATTTGGAGGGTATAATTATCGTGCGCTGAGTATTCGAATAAACAGTAGAAGGGGTTGAACATTTCGTGCGAAAGGAGGAAGAAGAACTCTCGGGACAGACCGCCGTAATCCAGACCGTCTTCGCCGTCAAACTTGATCATGAGTCGTTTCTTCAGATCCGTAGCAGACTGGCGGGTGATTTCGGCGAACGAGTCTTCAAAAATGTGTGATCTTCGGACCTTGATGTGACACTGCCCGCTAAGAATGCGCATGGCAGGCTGAGATCGGAAGTAAATGAGCTTTCGCCTAAAGTCTCGCTTATACTGGGGCACGTTTTGATCCAACGACGAAGGAAGGCGTGGGTCATCCCAGGTAGTCGTCTTGGTATTGTGGTCAACAAAGTAGACTCTGGCAGTATTTGTGAGACGCATCTCCCACCCGCTAGGCAGAGGGCCGAGCTGAGACACGGGCTGCTGCTGAATCTGGCCGTTGGTGCTGCTCTGGCCGTACATGCGAATGAACTGCTGCCGGCGTGGGTCGACCCACGTCGTGGTCCGCGTGTTGTGGTCGACAAAGTAGGGCCGTCCTTCGGGGGTCCAGCGTTGTTCCCATCCTGGAGGAAGCTCACCGGAGCCGGGTTGGGTAGCACCTGTATGCATCATGGCCGTGTGGCTGTTAGGGGCGGCATTGCTAGCAGCGGCGCTGTTAGGGCTGCCCGCGCCAGAGCCTTGTTGTTGCTGGAGAGTGGGCGAGCTTGTACCGGTTCTATCCTCGGGCAGGGTTCTGTTTTGGTGTCTCTGGCGTTCGACTTGAGTAACGGCCTCTCGCTCATTTCGGGTTTCCGCGGCACCGCCGGCGGCCGTCGGGCGATTCCAGCTGGTGGTGCGAGTGTTATGGTCAACGTAATATGTACGACCGAGGTTATCCTCCCTACGTTCCCAGCCGGCAGGCAAACGGCCTTGGGAATCCTCGAACGGGCTTAGCTGACTATTGGGGCGAGATTGAGAGCCATTGACACTCGAGGACGAGGGTACGGCGTTGACACTGGCGGGATGGTGGGAGGAGAGGTTGGGTTGAGAAACAAGCGCGTTGCCGTTAGGGCCAGACATGGCAGAACTCGGCCGGTCACCGGCCGGAGCGGACAGGGTCGACAAGTTAGAGGCACTGGGTGCACCAAGGGTAGGTCGGTTAGATGACGCTTGGCCTGCACGAATGGGGGTGCTAAGGTTGCAAGATAGGTTGAGGATGAGTTTGCCGTGCACGACGAGGTTATCAGTCGACTTCTTCAGGTCTCTCGTAATCATTTGATCTGGAAAGGACTAAGCGTTAGCGAGCTACTAGCAGGATTCGAGAAAATAAAGGGGGGAAGGGAGGGCTGAGACATACCGTCGGCTTCGGGTCCGACTTCTGGAATCAGGTCGCCGATTCGGATATTGATAACGCCAAGGAAACCCTGGTCCTTCTTTTTGAACTTCTTTTGATCGAAGACCTGGACGGCCAGGATGCTTCCCTCGTCAACCCGGCTACACAGATATCAATATTCAGCTCATCAATGGGGCATCTGGTGGATGCGAGGAGAGGATATTGGTCGTACAAATCAAAGCTCTCGTTCCAGTACGGGTTGAGCGTCTTCTTGCTCACCGTCGTCGTCTTGGTCTGCTCTCCATTGATGGTTGCTACAGCAAAGGGGTCCGGGAAGCCTGATGTTGTTAGCGAGACGCAAACTGGCGAAAGGAAGCGGAAAACATTTGTTAGCAAGCGGGAGGGGAGGGCACATACGAAAGACATCTCGCTTGTACAAACCATCGGCGGCGATGACTATGAGAACGCATCCATGTTAATAACAAAACGCAAGGGTCTCTTGAGCGGAGTGGGCTTTGCATCGAGGACGCACTTGTAATCCGCAGATTGGGTCTACTGTAAGACATGCGTGTTAGCTGGACGAGGACTGGATGAATAAAGAAAGGCTCCGCGGCCTGGTATAAGAACAACAAAGCAGTGAATGTGATGTGATGTGATGCTTACCCAGAATCGTTTCGGCTCGCCATGGTGACGGGATCTCGGTCGTGTTCGCAGCGCTCCAGGCACGGCAGCACCAGCCTTCCGACAAGGCACAGCAGGCAAGACAGGCGGACAGCAGCGGTTCTCGATGGCGCAGTTTAAGGAGAAGGACGAGAACGCTGCAAGTTGACGATGGACGATGCGAACTGGACTGGACTGGACTGGACTGGACTGGCCTGAGCAAAAGTTGGGGCTGTGCAGTGCAGCAGCGCCAGACCTCCCCGCTCTATGGCTTGGGTGGCGGGCGATAAGGAGCACGTGACGCGATCTCGTGCTGAGCAACGAGGGCAGCGGCGAGAGGCAGAGGCGAGGGGCTGGAATCTCAATCTCACTGCAGCGGCGATGGCAGGGCAATGGGGGATGGCAGAGCTGATGATGGAGGAGATGGAATCCAGTCCAGGTCGAGTCGAGTCGGGATTGCAAAGGCGGGCTGACAAGTGGAATCCCCTCTCAGCGTTACTCTTACGGGGCTGTTGCGGCCAGGGTGGGGAGCCAGAGAGAAGAGGCGGCCTCCGTTGGTTTGGTCTGTCTCTCCCTTAGGCTTGCCGTTGCCGCTGTGAGTATCGCTCTTTACAGTGTATTTGACTGCTCTACGGAGTACGGGGCCGGCATCTATTACGGAGTACTTGTAATGCTTTTAGGGAATCCATCATTTAGGCCATGCTGTGTCAGTATTTATAATGCTTTACTTGGACGAACCGACAAGATGAGCCCGCCATTTGCTCGTCTGAAAGCAGCTACAGTACCTTAGTACTAAGGTAGTACCTGGTATAGAGATGCCATCTGGTGACGTCTTGGGTACATTACCCATCCGTTAGTACTAAGCCTCACGCTGCTTCTCTTCTCTACCTACTAACTACACTCCGTACTCCTTCGACTACTCCTTCGATACGGCCACTCGGCACAAATCAGCCACAGAAAGCTTGCTGCTAGTCGTGCTCCCCTGCCAACTGATTGGATGTCGCCCTGATGTACCACCGCCAACACGCTCTTATACTTTGCCCGCCCCAGGCTACTAGAGAGGTACCTCGCAGTGACCCGCGACGGGCAATGCAGCAAAGCACGGGAACATGATCCTGGCGCGAACAAAGACCTCCAAGGGCGCCCGACTGATTTGCATGTTTGCCTGTGGGAGCACGACATGCCCAGCTATCCCGCTGGCACTGCCTCTATCCGGGGGTGGGTGTCGTGCTGTATCTTCCTTGCTAACCCACCAGGCACTAAAAGGGCACCGTAGCACGAGCACCGCACGAATCGCCCACCTAGCTACAAACCTGTCAATGGAATCTCTCAAGGTGCTCATATTAGTCTCCTGTGGGAACTCGACGAGCCATGTCGGCACAGCCAGCCTTGACTAATGCTCTCAAAACAATTTTATCCGGGCACCGTGGTTGAAAAGAAGCCCTCTTGTCCGGTCCGTGATGACCAATGTTTACAGTGCAAAAGGTACGGCCGCTCTCTAGGGCGCAGTTTTTGCCATCGAGCCAGAAAGTCTCCAAGCCGAGCGGGTACAGAACAAGCACCGCTTTACCGAGTACATCAAACCCCCCTTCTAGATTACTCAGACTCTGTACGATACGTGTATTACTCGGTACTTTGTACCACCAACTGCCCTCTTGTGCTGTACGAAGTGCTATTATTGGCATCGGACGCTCAATCTGGAGACGGGGTACCGGGCTGATGACCCAAACTCATCCAATCCAGAGCCAGATCGCTCCCCCCCCAGGTTCCGAGTAGCACGGAAGATAGAGAGGCAACTGACATGGGTTGGCTGACACATGCTCCAGCTAGATCATGATGGCCAGAGAAGGAATCGGAAGTGTACCAAATGGGATTAAGCAGATGAACAAGGACCAAAGAGAGAGAGAAAAAAAAAAAATAGAGAATTCGAATGCTGTAGGCTGAACGGCAAAAGTCACAAGCCACCTGGCCTCACGATGAGACCATTCTTTGTTGGTGTGGTCGGCTTCTGCGCGGAGCTGTATCATCAAAAGATAAAAACGCCACCTCACCTGCAAAGCCTATGCTGCTTGGTTTGTCATCCTTTGGCTCAACCTCATAGGGCGTGGCATGAATCTGTCGACATGTGACCGCTGCGGGTATGGATCTGCCCTATGCTTTGTCTATGATGTGACAAGTCGGACGAAGGAGCATCGAATGTCGTCAATCGTAGGGCGGAAGTCGGTGGAGGAGGGGGTGCTTGTCCTCTGCATTCACGCTCTGTAAGAGACGCCCTAAAGGAGCATGTTGATTGACCAAGTTTGAATCATCACATATCACTATGAATGTATGGTTGCAATAGACATTGCTTCGATGTGATACGCCTTAGCTATACGCCTTGGCTGTGCGCCTTGGCAATGCGCGAAGCGTTACAAGGCTAACAAGCAGAGGTAAAAAAAACAGTTTACTTCTCGTCTAGCCTCCGATTAGCATCTGGTGTCAATACCAAGGCCTAAAAACTCCAGATCCTTTCCCTTGTCGAATTCTTCTGATACTATACACGCAATCTTGTCGCCCATATCTGATCCTGTCTTTCTCAACTTGGACCCGGCTACTGGATGACACGCAGCTCTTCCATCAAAGTCAAGCAATACCGGCGTCCTCCACCCCCCGTCCTTTTTCTTGTTGTAGCTCCCCCCCAGCCCTTCTCCTCATTATGCCAACCTAGGTGCTGGATATCTTTCGTCATCTGTGTAGAGAAAAGAAGGAAATAAGAATCCGCCATTACTCTCCAAAACAAAAAGAGAAAAAAAAAGTCAAAGAAAAGCAAGCAACCGGTTTAGTCGCGCGAAATGATGAACCTCCCCTCAGAGCCGGTATCTGAAACATCATCACCCAATCCATCACTCTGGGCAGGTTGTGTGCTGCTTGGAGAAACACTTCCTTGCTCCTAGTAAGGGGCGTAGCCTCGTCCACGGCCCCGGTAACCGCCACGGTAGCCGCCGCCGCGGGGGAATCCACCACCTCCTCCGCGTCCATGGAAGCCTCCCCGACCACCGCCGCGGAAGCCTCCTCTTCCACGGCCGCGGCTCATGCCAGGGATATTGGTGCGCTTGGGAGTGACCTTGATGTTGCGTCCTTTGAAGACGCTCTCGTTCAGGACGAGGGCTTGGGCCACCAAGCTAGGTTCGGTAAACTCGACATAGGCGTAGCTATAGAAGGGGAAAAGGGCGCCACTGTTAGCTTATAAAATGCACAATAATAAGAGAGAGTGAAGGGAGCCAGGAGCTAGTCAAGGCGGGATTCGCAAAGATGTTGTGCTTACCCCTTGGGCTGTCCGGTGAACTTGTCCAGGAGAATAGTGACTCGGTTGATGGAACCGCAGCTCTGGAAGTGCGCCTGGACCTCCTCGGGGGAGGCAGAGTAATCGACGTTGCCCACAAAGATGCTGCGCGCGTCCACAGACTCCTTGTCGTCGGCGAGATCAGCAGACTGCTGCTCCAGCGTCGCCTGCATCTCGCGGAGCTTCTTGGCTTCTTCCTCCATCTCAGCAACTCGGCGCTTCATCGCCAGAATCTCCTCCTAGCAGGCGGGCGTGTCAGATCCATCACGTAACAGCTTTCTCGTCTCGAGCGCGCGTCAAAACTAAACCCACCTCTTCACTGGCCGCAGTCTCGTGCTCCGGCTCACGCTCCCCCTCGGGGATGCCCTCAGGCTTGTCTGCGTCCGACATTGTGCTTGACCGAATGAATCGACAGAGTCTCTTGCTGGGATAACTGAAAAAGGACGACAATGGTATCAGCGATGGTTGTTTCGAATGCGACCAATGCAACGACTTTGTCTTTGTTACATCAACAAAGAGCTGTTGATAGGACGGGAAGAGAGAAAAAAAAAAAAGCTAGGATGCGACCACCCCTGTGCAGATTGGGAATAACCTTTAGACGGAGCCTGAAGCGCGACCGCTTTAGGTTTTCTGCATCGAAATAGGATTCATCGAAGCGCCAAATGCTACTGACCTGGATTAACTGGCTGCAGCGATATCGGACGCGACAGCTCGGTTGTCTGCGACGTAAACGACAGTAACGGATCTGAAAGAGCAAAGAGAGGAAGAATTCGAGATGGGAACAATCGTCACTAGAGCCTCGTGTTGCCGCGACGCACAGCCGAAGTTTGCCCGCCCATAAGGCTCAGCGCTGTTGGTCGTGCGCGGCCCACTGGAGTTACTGCTGGTGCAAGGCCGTGGTAGCTGGGGCCTGGCCTGTGTGTGGGGGAGCAGATTCACTATTATCCACTGGCTAAATGGCTAGTATGTTCACATGGGATGCATCTAATAATCAGCATGGATCGGATCGCTGTTGACGAGCTTCTTCAGCTTAACCACTCAAATCACTACCAGCAGCTGACACTCGATACCTTGCTAGACTAATGCGTTCCAGCTTCTCTTGACTTGTGGCGCCCTTTTTTCTGCAGCGCAAAAGTGCTTATAGCTTGAGGCTCTGTAGTTTTGTTCATCTGCGATTCGTACGACAACACTACAGATAACATTATAACTCACTCACCCTCCAGCCTCTCACAACTACGATCCATCATGGCCGATCGCTCATCCGCCCCCTTGCTCCAGTCCTACCATGGCGACGACAGCGATGATTCTCCCGCCTGGGACAGCTCCTCCCAACAGGCCTCATCTACATCTCGCTCCTGGCAACGATGGCGTAGGACAAGCCAGCGCCTCCTCGAGTCCCGTACCAAGCACTTTGTCGTCATGGGCATCGTTGCGCTGGATGTCGCTGCGCTCCTCGCAAATGTCTTCATCCAGCTTATTGCCTGCGAGATGCATCAAAACGATGAGCCCTGGGTGGAGCAGCTGACCGAGAGTCTGGAAATTGCTGGTCTGGTATTCAGCAGCCTCTTTCTCATTGAACTCGGGGCATGTTTGTTTGCTTTTGGCTTGGGGTAGGTTGAAAAAGTTTTTTTTTTGTGTCTGTTTTTACATTGCTTTTGTTCATGTCCATCTAACTCTGTTGGCAACCTGAAGCTTCCTTGCCTCTTGGTTTCATCTCTTTGATGCCGCCGTCATTATTGCCAGCTTCGTCATAGATGTGACGTCCAGAGGCTTGACCGAATCCATTGGATCTCTGATTGTCGTGCTTCGTCTATGGAGACTAGCCAAGATTTCCGAAGAAGTGGTGCTGGGCGCTACTGAGAGAATGGAGGTGCTGGAGCAGCAGTTGGAGGACCTCGAGGCCGAGAATAGTAGATTGCGATCCCAACTCGGTATCGAGTTCTCCAACCATTCTGGCACCGAGTAGGATCCGAATCAAAGATTGATATAATTGACATATATTACAGTTACAGTTACAACTAGCTTGCTGCACAATCAATGGCCCCCCAAAACAAATTCGCGTGTCCAGACAATTCAGAGCTGGCATGTGAGCTCTGATTCATAGTATATGTATGTTCCTAGATTACTCCCATTCATTCCTTCTATTCGAGACAAACTCCAGGTATGTATGACAGAATCCTTCCTCCATTTACACCATCGATGCAGTTTCGTTCCGCCAAAATGAAAAATAAAAACGCCCATGATATCTATGCTACCTCCCTCCCATGTCCCGCAGTTGCCCTATGTTCCCATCCTATGTATACGAAATATGTGGCAGCGCTATGTCTGCCAACTCTGAACGACATGGTGATCGCTGGTAGAAAAAACAAAAAAGAAAGAAAGAAAGACGCGTCGCCGAGAGCGAGAAAGGGTCATGTATGTCGACTGCGTTTGCTCCCGTTGTTCACAGGGTCTTTGCCGCCTAAGCAGCCTCCAAAAAAGTCGTCAAAGTCCATCCTCCGTTTCGTCCCGGCTCCGCGACCAAGGTGTGGTGAAGACCGCGGGCCCGTCCGAGAAGAGCTTCCTCCAAATTTGGAACTGAAGGATGCTGGGAAAGCAGGTACCTCCTGCTGTCTCTGGTCTGATAAATCCAAGGTGGCGATATTAGGATACGATGAGTGGAAAGTAAAGGCGTCTTGCGTGGGTACGACGAAGTGAGTTGGCTCTTCGTTCATGGGGGCGACATGGACGGCAGCAGGTGGGGAGACGGTTCGTGTTTCGATCTGAATTGGTGTCGACGTGGATGGTTCGGCGCTGGCTCTAGCGACCTCGGGAGATGTAATTCGTTCCCCCTTGTCGACCTCATCCTCGCTCTCGGCGCTCTGGTGTCCCGGATCTCGACCATCAAGCCTCTCCGTGGCCCACCTCCTTATCCGCCAGCCCTCGCCGTCGTCCAAGCCAATATTTCCCCTGTCCAGAAACATGAGCAGATCGTCTAGGCACTCCTGGTACCCATCTGCACGAGCGCGAGCTTCTGCCTTGGCGGAGGTCTTGTAGAGCTTGGTGACGGAGAGGGCGGCGGCCTTGAAAACATCCAGAAGCTGTTCAGGTGAGTCATACTGCGCCGCCTGCTTCCCAACCGCGCTACGGGTTTTCGACGAGTCCATCTTCAAAGAAGGTATTTGTTGTTATGGCAAGCGCGCGCGTGTGTGGTATGGCCTAGCTTCTAGTTAGGGTGGCGTAACGGCAAACTGGGAGCTTTGTGTTCCTACCTGAGGACTCGTATGGATTCCAGCAAGCAGGCTCAGGGAGAGAGATTCCGCGGCCTGGTTTTAGGGGGTCGCACGGCAGAGGCAATGCCGATTTCTAGCTAGGGAGCCTCGGGGTTCGAAGACGAAGCTCGCAAAAGAGGAAGAGAAGGAGCGAAATGTTTGGAGATGGTCCCCAAATCGGATCAAACGATGGAGGGGAAAGTCCTGGCAATTTAGTCTGGAGCGGCAAACTTCGAGGTCAGCAGGTTTGAAAGGTGGGCGAAGGCGGTAGAACGGCACGTGGGGTTGATGGGTCGATACCCTGGCATCTACCACGTGACTTTGAAGCTGGCCGCAAGCTACCAGACGGGAGCAGCGGAAGATGCTTTGCTTTAGGGATAAGAGAGAGAAGCGATACGGGAGGATTTATTGTTATAGTTTTGATGATGAGGTGCGTCGAATGTGCGAGTGCTGGGAGCTGAACGAGACACGTGCACGCACCGCTCGGTGATTTCAAATGCTACAGGTACCTCTCGTACAGGTACTCGTACATGCACTGCGCACTCCTTGCAGGCCTTGAATTTACGGGAGGCAAATCCCCTGCTAATTGAACCGCATCTGCATTTGCAGCGCTGAAAAGCCCCTGACCCGTTGACGTCGGTCGCTAATCCCGCTTGGGTGTCGTGCCGGACTTTCCTTGTTCCTTTGAGCAATAAGTGGGGGGCCCGAATCGGCTTTCTTTGGCGGAGAGAACAAGGGTGGGACCTGCACAAGCGCTAGGCCCAAAAGGCGACAACCTCTGGATGAGCACGTCGAGCCTCTTGCCAGGCGCAATTCTAGAAAAAACATCTTCTCCTTTTCCACCAGCAACAGGAAGGTCGATTCACGGCTTCCAACACCGCCCAAAACATCCCGAGACGTCAGAGGTCCCTGATAGACTTACGGAATCGCCCTCGACCCCTCGCCCTTTCGCCCAGCGGCGCATTTGAAGCGCGTTTCGTGCACGCAAGTCGCGTAAAGAGGCTCCCCTCTGAGATTTTAGTCGCAATGGCTCCGCGACCTCGAGCCAACGGCGTGGATACGGACGCGTCCATGTCTGACGCTCCGGAGCATCCTCACGTTGAGGAAATGGTAAGTTCATCTATTTAATTGCTGCCTTTCGCCTCTCGATCGATGTTTTAACCGGCTTTGACTCCAGGACGTTGATGAGACTCCCGACTATACCGATTCCGACACCAACCCCAACACCACAGCCAGCAGCGTAGTCGGCGAGCCCCTCACAGACGGTAGGAAGCGACGTAGCGAGGCGAATCAATTGCGTCGGAGCATCTTCGGAAAGAAGCATGACCGCCTTGGAGAGTCAAAGGTATGCATTCCCATATTATTGCCCACTTATAAGACGGTGCCTGCTGAGGATTGTATTCGATATTAACGCTTTGACTCTTTTCTTTGTCTTTCAAACAGGAAGATGATACCATTCGAAGATTTCGATACTTGCTCGGCCTTACCGATCTCTTCCGGCACTTTATCGAGACGAATCCCGACCCTAAAATCCGTGACATTATGGCCGAGATCGATCATCAGAATGCCGAAGCTGCTCGAGGCAAGAAGGGTGCTGGCAGAAAAGGAGGCGCCACGAGTGATCGACGGCGACGAACCGAGGCCGAGGAAGACGCGGAACTCTTGAGCGATGAGAAGCATGGCGGATCCGCGGATACGGTCTTCAGAGAGTCACCCTCGTTTGTGCAGGGTACCATGAGGGATTACCAGGTTGCAGGCCTCAACTGGCTCATTTCGCTGCATGAAAACGGCATTTCAGGCATTTTGGCCGACGAAATGGGCTTGGGCAAAACTCTGCAGACCATTGCCTTTCTGGGCTATCTCCGCCACATCATGGGTATTACTGGTCCTCACCTTGTGACGGTGCCCAAGTCGACGCTCGACAACTGGAAGCGAGAGTTTGCAAAGTGGACCCCCGAAGTCAATGTGCTGGTGCTCCAGGGTGCAAAGGATGAGCGTCACGAACTCATCAACGAGCGTCTTGTTGACGAGAAGTTTGACGTTTGCATTACGAGCTACGAAATGGTCCTGAGAGAAAAGGCACATCTCAAGAAATTTGCTTGGGAGTACATCATTATTGACGAGGCACATCGCATCAAAAACGAAGAGTCCTCCCTCTCGCAGGTCATTCGACTCTTCAACTCCCGTAACCGACTGCTCATTACAGGTACCCCGCTGCAAAACAACTTGCACGAGCTCTGGGCTCTCCTCAACTTCCTCCTGCCCGATGTCTTTGGCGATGCTGATGCGTTCGACCAATGGTTTTCGGGACAAGACCAGGATCAAGACAAGGTTGTGCAACAGCTGCACAGGGTGCTGCGTCCGTTCTTGCTCCGACGTGTCAAGAGTGATGTTGAAAAGAGTCTCTTGCCGAAGAAGGAGGTCAACGTGTACCTGGGCATGTCCGAGATGCAGGTTAAATGGTATCAGAAGATTCTGGAAAAAGACATCGACGCCGTCAATGGTGCTGGAGGGAAGCGAGAGTCCAAAACTAGGCTTTTGAACATTGTTATGCAGCTGCGAAAGTGCTGCAACCATCCTTATCTCTTCGAAGGTGCTGAGCCGGGTCCTCCCTACACAACTGACGAGCATCTGATCTACAATGCTGGCAAGATGAAGGTCCTGGACAAGTTGCTAGGACGACTTCAGAAGCAGGGGAGCAGAGTCTTGATCTTTTCACAAATGAGCCGACTGCTCGATATTTTGGAAGATTATTGCGTCTTCAGGCAGTACAAGTATTGCCGTATTGACGGTGGTACTGCTCACGAGGACCGAATTGCAGCCATCGACGATTACAACAAACCTGGATCCGAAAAATTCGTCTTTTTGCTCACGACGAGAGCTGGTGGCCTGGGTATCAACTTGACAACGGCCGACATTGTCATTCTCTACGACAGTGATTGGAACCCGCAGGCCGATCTGCAGGCCATGGACCGCGCGCACCGTATTGGACAGACTAAGCAAGTTGTGGTGTACAGATTCGTCACTGATAACGCCATTGAAGAAAAAGTCCTCGAGCGAGCGGCCCAGAAACTACGGCTCGACCAGGTCGTCATTCAGCAGGGCCGTGCCCAGGTTGCGGCCAAGGCCGCTGCAAACAAGGACGAGCTCCTGTCCATGATTCAGCATGGCGCCGAGAAAGTATTCCGGTCAAAAAGCTCTACCGACGAAGCAGCAAACAAGGATAAGGAAATGGACGATGAGGATATCGATGAAATCTTGACTCGGGGCGAATCGCGTACCAAGGAGCTGAATGCCAGGTACGAAAAGCTTGGTATCGAGGATCTTCAGAAATTCACTTCCGAATCTGCTTACGAGTGGAATGGAGAAAACTTTGCAGCCGCAAAGAAGAACATCGGCATGAACTGGATCAACCCGTCGAAGCGAGAACGCAGGGAACAGAGCTACTCGATGGACAAATACTTTAGACAGGCCATGTACCCCAACCCCAAGGCCGATGCCAAGCCAAAGGCCCCCCGTGCGCCGAAGCAGGTACCAGTTCACGATTACCAGTTCTATCCCCCCCGACTGCAGGATTTGCAGGACAGAGAGACTGCCTTTTATCGCAAGGAGATTGGGTACAAAGTTCCATTGGCTGATGGAGACGATGATAACTTGTCCGAGCGCGAGGCTGAGAGAGCACTCGAGCAGCAGGAGATTGACACTGCCACGCCCCTCACAGAGGAAGAACGAGCCGAAAAGGAGGAGCTTTCCAACCAAGGCTTTGGCCATTGGAACCGCCGTGATTTCCAGCAGTTTATTAACGGATCGGGAAAATATGGGCGCAACGATTATCAGGGCATTTCCAATGAGATTGATAGCAAGACGACGGCGGAAATTCGAGCTTATGCCAAGGTGTTCTGGCAGCGATACACGGAGATTTCCGACTATCCCAAGTACATCAAGGTTATCGAAGATGGTGAGGAGCGCACCAGGCGCATCGACCATCAAGGCAAGCTTCTTCGGAAGAAGATGCAGCAGTATCGCGTTCCTCTCCAGCAACTCAAGATCAATTACTCGGTCTCAACCACCAACAAGAAGGTCTACACCGAAGAAGAGGATCGGTTCCTGTTGGTTCTTCTTGACCGTTATGGCATCGACTCCGAGGGCCTCTATGAAAAGATGCGAGACGAGATCCGTGACTCTCCTCTTTTCCGCTTCGATTGGTTTTTCCTGAGTCGCACGCCTATTGAGCTGTCGCGACGATGCAACACGCTGCTCACAACTATCGTGAAGGAGTTTGAGGACGGCCCTGGGACCGGAAAGAGCTCTAACGGGGTCAATGGCAAGTCTAAGCGCGATCTGGACGAGGAGAACGATGAGGATAGCATCCTGAGCATGGCACCGGCAAAGAAGAAGTCTAAGAATGGCGTCAAGGTATGTAACATCGTAGAGAAAGTCAAAGGGGCCAATGCTAACACATATCTCTAGAATAAGGCTCTTGACAACGTCAAATCAAAGTCTAGCAAAGCCAGCTCAGCTTCCCCTTCGAGAGCCTCCAGCGTCGCTTCCAACGCCAACTCGGTTGCCGGTGGCTCTTCAAAGGGCAAGAAGACCAAGACCGCGGGTAGAAAGAAGAAATGAGTAAGATGAAAAGCGGGAAAACCAAGGATTCAGGGCAAAACAAGTCGGGCTCAAGGAAAGGATGCGGATACGAGATTTAGAGAGGGGAGTAACGTTGCTTTATGATGTCGACAAAACTTATGGCGTTTTCATGCTTGGGGGATTAATGCGGATTGAATCGAGCTTGGTGGTGGACAATTCTGTCGGCAGGACAGTATCTTGATCCCGGGGCAATGATGGTTGTAGGAAGGGCATGGAAGATGCTCCAGCTTCTTGTGTCAGATGAAAAACAA